TCCCGACCCTTCTCGAGTCTCTCCCTGGAACCACCCACTTGATCGGGCGCTGCGTTCTCTGCGTCGGTCGCTCTCGTCGTTGTCCCAGCCGGACCTCTATTGTGTCTCGATTTGCTCACTCTTCTTCATGATTTCCCCCCGTCTTGTTGCGACGAACTGGCCACTATGGGCTAATCGTAGCGTCAATCCTGGTCACCGCACCAATTCTGTAACCGGCCTCGGCCTCTGCTCTGCCGATCCCTGCGCGCAGTTCGCTTCGGCCGAACTTTTCGGTGTCAGATGTTCGCTCCCCGAACTTTTCGGTGTCCAGATGTTTCGCTCCCCGCAAGGTGCGCGCAGCTTCGCAAGTAGAATCGCGCCGCCTCTAAATACGATTCTCTGCGGTAGTGCTCGCTGCGTCGGTGGTATCGCTGCGGTTGGTAGTACCTTCATCGCGAGAGATTTCTCTCCCGCGCGTGCGTTTGTAGACTGATGAGGATGGTGTGAGGATGCTACGGTTACAGGCGTAATACCCTTCCCTCGGCGGTAAGATTGACGTGTAGACGTGGGGAGAAATGAAGGCGCAGGACAAAAGTGTGGCTAAGAGTGAATAATGTTTATTACAAACACAACGAAAGAATGCGTAAGATACATACTGAACGCGACCGGTAATCGAAACGAGGCCAGCTTTCAAGAGCTTTCTGAGTCGTACTCACGTCGTTTCGGGCGCTGGTGTTAATTCCAGGAATAATATTCTCCCGCACATAGTTAGCTCTGCTCAACGTTACGAGTAACTCGCTAAACTTCGAAATACACATCAGTAAGAATTCCTGAAATAACTCCCTGCACAAACCCTGTAACCTCTCAACTCAACTGCTTCCCGAACATGCTTATCGTCAGCTGCAAACTTAACTGTCTCTCAAACTAACTGCTTAAGCTGCCTCTCGTCAGCCGCAACGTCGTCCGTGGAGCGCCGAGGCACGCGGTGCCGTCTTATACCCTCGCGGCGCACTGCCCATGAGTCAGCTCTCCAGTAAGCCTAGTCCCGCGCGCCGCCTAACACGTACGCTCTGTTCCGCGCACGCCTAACAACCGTAACACGTGATGCCACCGATCGATCGCTCACTGGTCCGAGCCCCCGTGATTGGCTGTTGCTGTTTACCAGCGTGTTATTTCGGTGTCGGTGATTTCGGTGTTGCGTGTGTCGGTAATATACCTCCCGAACGCTATCCCGAAATTCTACTTCCGCGAATCGCTATTTCCGCCGACCTCTCGATTCACCCGGCGCCGTCAAGTTAATGTATGTAATGTAGTTATGTAGTGTATTAGTATGTATGTATGTATGTATCGTAATGTATGTACTGTATGTAAATGTATGTATGTATGTATGTAATGTATGTATGTATGTATGTATGTATGTAATGTATGTATGTATGTATGTATGATGTATGGTATGTAAATGTATGTGTATGTATGTATGTATGTATGTATGTATGTAATATGCTATGTATGCTATGAGTAAGTAGTCATGTATCGTATTATGTATGTATGTCATGTATGTTATGTATGTCAATTGTATTGGGTATGTATGTATGTATGTATGTATGTATGTATGTATGTAGTATGTATGTATGTATGTATGTATGTATGTATGTATGTATGTATGTAATGTATGTATTGTAATGTATGTATGTAATGTATGTATGTATGTATGTATGTATGTATGTATGTAAAGTTAGTGTATGTATGTATTGTGAATGTATGTATGTATGTATGTATTAAATGTATGTATGTATGTATGTATGTATGGCAGTGTATGTATGTTATGTATGTATGTATGTATGTATGTATGCATGCATGCACAATGCCATGCATGCAAATGCATGCATGCATGCATGCATGTCATGCATGCATGCATGCAATGCAATGCATGTATGGCTATGTAATGTATGTATTGTATGTATGTAATGTATGTGTGTATGTATGTATGTATGTATGTATGTATGTAATGTATGCATGTATATATGTATGTATATATATATATATATATATATATATATATATATAATATATATAGAGAGATGAGAGAGAGATAAGAGAGAGAGAGGAGAAGAGCGATATTTGTATATATAGATAGATAGTATAGATTAGATACCTTGTGTGGTGCATGTAGGTTTGTGGGCGTCAGCTGCTCCTACGTCTGTCGCTGAACACATTCATGTCCTGGCCGGAAACGACTACGCTATACTTCCTACTGATGGGCCTGTGCGAGATTCCCGCTACGCGATGAACGCAGTTGACGACGGCACTTTCGGGCCGACGCATCCGCTCCTCGTTTTTCATGACCGCTAGGCGGCGTCGCCTGCCTGGCGACGGCCTTCTGGCCCGAAACGACAATCACGTGGTTGATCACAACTGTTGGCCATCTGCGGCAAGATGGGCGCACGGCGGCGTTCGCCATCAATAATTTCAGGTGCGAGGTGGCTGAAACGGGGCGCAGTCTAAGGCGGTGCTCCGAATTGTTGCTGTAAATGGATAAAAGTTTTGGCTTTACTGGGGCGGCGTTAGCAACGCAGTCACGTTTACGTTTGCGTATGTTTTAAGCTCGTCAAAAGTTAAGCTTACGTCACGTTAGAGCTTGCTTCACGTTACAGCCTGCGCCACGTCACAAGTTTGCGTCACGTACAGATGTCTGGCTGAGGCTGTAACCTACGTCCGTGAGGAATCTCTGCGACCAGCTGGAGCTCATCTAGTGCTGAACGGTTCCCTTATATCACCGTTCATAGGCCTGCTGTGGGTTAATACACACAAACGCAACACGAGCACAACACACACACACAACACACACACAGAAAAAAAACAGCCACACACACACAATGGAGCGTGTCACGGCCGCGGGGCTGCGCCCAACGACACACACACACCACCACACAACAGCGCGCACACACACACACACACACACACACACGCGCGCACACACACACAGCACAAGTCTCGGCACGCACGCACGCACGCACCGCACGCACACACAACACACGCACGCACCGCGCACACACCACACACACACACACACACACACACAAAGACACCCAGCACAACACACACACACATATAATATTATATGATATATGTAAGATACTTTTAGAATAGCCTTGTGTATAATATACTAATAGATGTGATTAATAATACTTGTCATCGTGTCTTAAATATAGTTATATACAATTCAATAAATTACAGGACATCTGCGGGCACTAGCAGATCAACCGTCATCGTTCCACTGTGACCGATGAAAAACGATCTCATAGCTCGCGTATTCTAATGATGTCATCGGTCGCGCTGACGTTGCATTCTAACTGTGTTATCATTGCCTCATACACGATGGTGGTGATGATGATGAATGAGATGATGATGATCGTCATTTCTGTCATGTATAGGGTGTGTATGTGATAGCAAATATACGGATGAGTCAATCTGCGGATAACCATCTGCGTCAGGGGCGGGGTGGCAGTGGAGGGATACGTTTAATAACGTCAGTGTGAACATACGCGCACATCTCAATGCAACACGTCTGCCATTTTCCAGATAAATAGCGGTGGAAGAACCTCCCGCTCACATTTTCGGCGTGTTCGCTGGCTGTGCCGGGATGATTTTGTTTCAATGCTGGCCGGAAACACGTCATCTGAGCACTCCGAAACCATCTTGATTTGGAGGCCCTCACTGGTAAGGAGGTAAAGGCAAGGGAAGCGGTTATCTGTCAGATAGAGCGAGAGTAAGAGAAGGACGGTTACGATGATCCCGGTGCATATTGAATTTATCCAACTTTTGGTTGGGTATGGTGAATATTATCGTTAAACATTGTAATATGCGTGCGAGTTGGATTTAGTGTGATGCGAAGGTTTTCAATTAAATATTAAAAAAACAACACATATTTTAAAATCTCGTTGGGTGAAATTTATTCCCCAATTTAAATGAAATTAAATATTTAAATATGTCTAACATTGTTCAGCTATATATAACGATGACATTTATCTTTTATGTGGCACATCACCCGCAGCTAATGATGAGTCATCGCAGACGACAGACAACGATAACAACATATTATATAACTTAGTGAAAAAGATGTGACTTTAAAGTGTAAAAACCATCTTTGCCCACAATGATTATATATTGGCTGGAGTGTCCATAATATATGACTGTAGTGTCTATAACTATATACGCATAAGTTAAATATATATATATATATATATATATATATATTATATATATATATATAACGATGTGATCATAATATAATATATATATCTGGGGGGCTTTTACACAAAAATGAGTTTCTTGGGAAGCATCGGGGACCTCATGGCTGGATCAGGACTGCAGGAATTCTTGGGGCTAATCTATGCAGACAACGCGGTGGTACACATGATGACAGGCAAGGCTATTGCACGAGCAGTACGAGGACATCGCCTTCTTGATGCAGCACCAAATGCCTTGATTTTGTCAAACGTACGGGGGGGGTGTGCCACTCCCTTAACCATCTGCAGAGCCACATAAAGTGGAGGAGACTAATGAGGCAACAGTGTCACCAGATGATGAGCCTACGACAGACGAAACTGGAAACACTGATCTTGATGAACTTGCTGCCCTCTACAAGAACCTGATGGAAGGTTCCGTGTCTGCAGAGGAGTTCTGCTAAACTGATGTGTTAAGCAGGATCATCAAGGAGCTCCTCAGGGCCAAAACCGAATCCTTGAAGTCCTCTAGGACTGCCACACTTTGGCTACAGTACATGGAGATGGTGGACATACTACGGAAGTTTGTCAGAGCAGAGCGCATTGGCAGCCTCTGGGCACAACCTCTACACCAAATCAGCCCGCCTCTATGTGCAGCAGATGAGCAAGCATCTGGATGAACATCCAGATGTGTACCAACGATTCGAAGAAGGGTTCCATGTTGTCAGAAGAGGTGATCGCCTATGAGCTGGTCTGTCCGTAGATCTCACCATCAAACAGGTCCTGATAAGGAGTATGAAGACCAGCGGTGGCCTGACGAGAGGGCGAGGCATGACGGAGCAACAGCGTCTCATATGGCTGCTCTCCATGCCTGCCTGTGCTGAAGTTAACAATGCTATGCAGCAGCTCACAGGTGTCAACTACAACACTGGTGAACAAAACAACGACATGACAAATGCTAGACAAACACGTGCCATAAAAGACACACATGCAGTTATCAGCTATCTGCAAGAGAGAACACCCTTCAGCTCAGATCCGATCTTGCGCAGCATCTCAACAGGGTTGCATGCAACCAGCACAGTCAATGTGGACTCAGCAAAAACTGTTGGAACAGCTATCCTGACCAACATGGATGGACAAACTGCTGCTGACTACACATTCAAGAGGAAGGATCAGGCCATTACCTTGGCTGCAAAATCGGCAGTAAAGATTGATGGTGAGGCAGTACAGGTGGCTCCCAAGCTGCTTTTTCAGCGACTGACAATTGCTGCAAAAGCTACAGAGGTTCTAAAGTCAAATATGATCTGGAGTCAATCTGTCAGTTACTCACCAGCTCTGTTTGATTCCACACTGCTGCTCCGACAGCCACAGAAGCCAGTGATAGCAGATGCTATCTGGACACTCCGGACACTCCAGGAATCACAAGCCAAGTCTACTACGTGCTGGATGGTGGGGCACTAGTCCAGCGCATTCCATGGG